TTTCTTCCTCCCTGCACCCCAGATAAGTCATTCGCCTGAAACATCCACAAATTACAGACCCCACTCCCATGAAGGAAGCTACTCCACCTTATGGAGATCCCAATGTCTGTCCGTCCACCCCCGATATTTTGGAAGTAGACCAGTGTGCTTTTCTTCCGAGGTACCTCTCCATGGACTGGAACCTCCACTCTGTGAGCAACAAAGTGCTTAACTGTCTGTGCCACTCAGCGATTGCTGGCTGACCAGTTTGGTTAAATGTTTGAATTTCTCAGGAGCATTCTTCAAATGAGAGAAGTACCCACCTAGGGCTAAAGCAAGGGTCCCCGGTGGTACCATGGGTTAAATGCTGGGCTGTTAACCACAAGGTTGGTGGTTCAAACTCACTGGCTGCTTTGTGAGACAAAGATCAGGCTGTGGGATCCTGTGAAAGTGTATAGTCTTGGAAATCCTAAGGAGCAGTTGTGGAGGGCTACTGTGAGTTGGAACCAACTCATTGGGAATAGGTTGGGTTTGGTTTATGACCAAAGCTGTAAATGCCCTTCTTGGACTGCCCCTTCCTCCAGAGCTGCAGGGATTGGCTAGCACCTTCCAAGGGCAAGAGGCTGCTCAGAATTGGAGTCCTGTGCTTTGCAATTTGAAATTTTCCAAAACAAGGAAGAGGAAGCATTCTGTGAGGGAGCGTCAAAAAGTTCGTGGAAAAATTGAATGAAAAGATGAATGGAATTTTTGCACCAACTCTTTGAAGCCCTTTGTATTTTCTGTTATGCCTTTGCATGGTCTTCTGCAGTATACTATAGGCTTTGTTAACACCATCTCTTGGAAGATTTCATTTTAGGATGGCATATTCAGGTTTCCAAACTGCCCTTAGAACTCTAGAATGATGTCTTATGAGCACATTGCTTTGTTACCTGGAGCAGTCATTTCTAAAAGCGAACAATGCTCCTTGGAGTTAGAGAGTGATTGGTCTAAACCAGGACACAAAATGCAAAACGCTTTCCATTTTGAAAGTGAAACACTTGAGTCTCCGTACACCACAGACGGTCACACAAGTTTGCTCTTGTTTTAACATCAGCGTTCACCGTTACAGGTGAAGAGGCATCGTGAAGCCAGTTTTCAGCATACTAGAACGTGATCTACCACCTAGGAGATTCTGAAAATCTGAGAGCTCAGAGCAGGACCACTGGCTGTTCCACACCTTCATAGCCCTGCCTTGCTTTACTGGGTTCTGTCTTCTTTTCCTCTGAGTTCTGGTTAGCTGCCAATTTGGGCAAACTTTCTTGTACCCAATTAACTCTTGAGGGTCAACCCCCTGTCCCTGCTTTGTGGGGGTGGGGGGTGGTGATGATCAATTGGTTACTCATGCCAGGAGAGTCCCACCCTTTAAACTAATCATAATTTTAATTTCACTCCATTCTCATGGTTACGTAACATGGACCAACATGTTGCTGTTAGGTGTCGTCCAGGCGATTCTGACTCATAGCGGTCGTACCGTACAACAGAATGACGCAGTGCCTGACCATGGGCTGTCTTCACGGTGGTACATACAACAGAATGACGCAGTGCCTGACTGTGCGCCGTCTTCACGGTTGTACGACAACAGAATGACGCAATGCCAGACCTTGTGCCGTCTTCCCGTCGGACGTAAAACAGAATGACGCAGTGCCTGACCGTGCGCCGTCTTCATGGCTATTTTCTTTAAGCCCATTGTTGAGCCACTGTGCCAGTCTATCGTGCTTGGTAAAGTGGAGGGTGGGAGGAAGAGAAAAAGGCCCCCGACGACGTGAATTGGCACAGTGACGGCAGCAAGAGCAACCCGAAACAAAGCAGCAATTGTGAGGACGGAGCAGGACCGGGCTGCTGTGTACAGTGTCACTATCAGTTGGTACCAACTCACTGGCACCTAACAGTGAGAATTCTCCCACTGAACGGCAGCTGTCTCCATAAGGGGATCTAGTGACAGCTTGTTAGGTGCTGTCGAGTGCTTCCAGCTCACAGTGACCCTGTGACAACTGACCAGACCACTGCCGGCTCCTGTGCCGTCCTCTCCGTCACTGCTTTGTTTGAGCCCACTGGATACTTTGTTGTAGCCACTGTGAGAGTTTATGTCATGTGACGGTTCTTCCTCCTTTTCCCTGACCCTCTGCCAAGCAGGATGCCCTTCTCCAAGGACTGCTCTCACGATCCTCATATCTAGTGAACATCCTGGGTGCACCTCTTCCAAAACACATCTATCTGTTCATTCTTCTGCCAGTTCATGGTACATTCAGTATTCTTTACCAACACCATAATTCAAAGGCATCAATTCTTTTATGGTCTTCCTTATTCATTGCCTGGATTCCACCTGGGTATTAGGTGATTGATAATACCATGGTGCACCTTATTCCTCAAAGTGACATCTTCGCTTTTAAGCACTTTAAAAGAGGTCTTTTGTAGCCAGTTTGCCCAGTGCAATATGTCATTTGGTTTCCAACTGCTGCTTCCATGCATGTTGATCATCTAAAATGAAATCCTTTCCTTTTGTCTTTTCTCTGTTTATCTCTGTTGCTTGTTGGTCCAGTTATGAGGACTTTTGTTTTCATTATACTGAGGTGTAGTCCATACTGAAGGCTGTAGTAGTCTTTGATCTTCATCAGTAAGTGCTTCAAGTCTTCTTTTCTTTCATCAAGCATGGTTGTGTCATCTGCATATCACAGGTTGTTCATGATTCTGATGCCACGTTCTTCCTACAGTCCAGCCTTTTGTTTTACTTGCTCAACCTGCAGATTGAACAAGTATGGTGAAAGGATACAACCCTGACACACACCTTTCCTGATCTGAAGCCATTCAGTGTTCCCTTACATTTGAACGACTGCTTTTTAATCTATGGAATACAATACGAGTTCTGGAACTCCCATTCTTTGCAGTATTATCCATAATTTTGTTATGACCCACACAGTTGAATGTCTTTACATAGTCATTAAAACACAGGTAAACACTTTTCTGGTACTCTCTGCTTTTATTCAAGATCCATTCGACATCAGCAATGATAACCGTAATTGCATATCCTCTTCTGAGTCCAGCTTGAATTTCTTTGGAATGGGCATAAATGTGACGGGCCAGGTAGCTGTCGTCCAGATTTCTTGGCATGGCTGAGTGAGTACTTCCAGTGCTACGCCTATTTGTTGAAACATCTCAGATGATATTCCATCAATTCATGGAAACTTTTTTTTTAACCCATGTCTCTTCAGTGCACCTTGGACTTTTTCCTTCTGTACTACTGATTTTTGACCATATGCGTCCTCCTGAAATGGTCCAGCATAGACCAGTTCTTTTTGGTCAGTGACTGTGTATTCTTGCCATGTCCTGCTTTTGATGCTTCCTGTGTGGTCCAGTACTTCCTCCCTAGAATCCTTCAGTATTGCAACTTGCTGCCATCTTTAGCTCAGTGGTGAGGGGCCGGGTCCTTCCATGCACACATCTCCTGTGAGCAGGTTCTTTTATTCTTTCACCAAAGGTGGTGGCTTTGTAAGGTTGCGAGGCAAAATCTAGGGGGTTCCTTTCTCTGTCTTCCAGATTTAGTTCAGTGAGGAGCTATTAGTTAACTAAACACATGAATGTTCCTCATCTTTTGGGATAGTGGGGAATGGTTCCTATCTCTTTCCCCTGACTCTGCTTCTCAGTAGTAAGTTACCTGGCACTTGGGTCATTTAGCAGATTTTAGCCCATTTGACATGGGACCATCACCAGACTCAGCACCACATTCCTTATGTTGATTACCCCTTAGCCCTTTGCATCCATCCAGTAAAATGTAGTTGTTGTTGTTGTTAGGTGCCATCGAGTCGGTACCGAGTCATAGCTACCCTATGCACAACAGAACAAAACACTGCTCAGTCCTGGGCCAACTTCACAATTGTTGCCACGCTTGAGCCCGTTGATGCTGCCACTTTTCCAATCCATCTTTCTGGGGGTCTTCCTCTTTTTCTCTGACCCTCCACCCTACAAAACACGATATCTCTCTCCAGTGACTGCTCTTTCCTGACAATATGTCCAAAGTAGGAGAGACGAAGTCTGGCCATCCTGGCCTCCAAGGAGCACTCTGGCTGCACTTCTTCCTACACAGAGATCTCTGTTGTTTTTTTGGCAGCCCATGGTACTTTCAATATTCTCTTTCAACACAGTAACTCAAAGGCATCAATTCTTCTATGGTCTTCCTTATTCACTGTCCAGCTTTCCCATGCACATGAGGTTGTTGAGAATACTATGCATTTAATCACCAACCACTAAAGCCAGTGAGGATCAAACAGAACAATTCTACCAACTTCTTCAATCAGAAATTGATCAAACATGCGATCAAGATGTAGTGATAATCACTGGCGATTAGAATGCAAAGGTTGGAAACAGAGGAAGGGTCCGTAGTTGGAAAATAGGGCCTTGGTGATGGAAATGATGCTTCCAGCATCACAACACACAAGCCACAACAGTATGACAATCTGACAAACAAGTGCTGACAAAATGTAGTAGAGTCTGTAAATACATAAGTAAATAAGACCTGCCTTCAAGGTCTGTGGGCCCTGGGGGTGCAGTAGGGTAAGTCCTGAACTGCTAAGCACAAAGCTGGCTGTTCAAACCCACCAACCACTCTGAGGGAGAAAGATGAGGCTATCTATTCCCGTGAAGAGCTACAGCGTCAGACCCTCTGAGTAGGAGTGGGCTTGAAGACTATGGATTAAGGTCTGTGGAGACTTTCTTCTCTCTGATGTACTTCAAAATGTCACCAAAACTCCACCAGGAGGTAACACTGTTCTCACATCTTTCCCTGTAAGAATCACTTAAAAGTGTTCTGAAAACCCACCCTATGAGAACAAGAGAAGGGCATTAAAATGACCTTCTGTCCTCCCCACCCCAAAGCGGGTTCTAGAATTGTCATTGAATCACAAAGGAAAACCAAGGCAGGAATCCCACCAGGCCCTGCTGATGCACGATGGGGACGGCATTGTAAGGTACACCGCGTTTCCTTTCAGTCACCGAAGACCTCATTAGACGGAACGCTGAGCACAATGACTGTGTGATTTTTTCCCTGGAGGAGCTCTCCTTGCATCAGCAAGAAATAGAAAAATTAGAACACATTGACAAATGGTGCCGGGAGCTGAGGATCCTCTACCTTCAGAACAATCTCATTGGGAAAATCGGTAAGTGTTCCAGTGCTCTATCCCTGGAGTTTCCTTCCCAATTTGAACGTGAGAACTTGGGCAAAGGCAGGGTTGTGTTAGCGTGAGACAGTCACCGAAAGAGTATTCAGTGAGCCGTCCATCACCGCAGGCAGTTCTCAGCCTGGCTACACATGATAAGTTTTCTGGGCGTTTCCAGGAGGCCGTCTCCTGGTCTAGAGGAAACGGCTGGAACAGCTTTAGGAGGGAACACATTTGCTGTCTGAGACTTTAAAGGCTTGAATAGAGAGGATGACATAATTCAGATGTCTGTCACAATCATACATTGTTCTAGGTTCCTGGGTGGGGCAAACGTTTTATACTACGTTACTAACCGAAAAGTTGCTGGTTCAAACCCACCCAGAATCACGGCAGAAGAAAGGCCTAGTGATCTGTGTCTTCAAAGAAAACCCCATAGAGCAGTTGTGCTCTCTAACATATGAGGTCACCATAAGTCAGAACCGACAGCAAGGGGTTATTTATCATGTTTATCATTTCTTTTTGTTGGGTTTGTATCCGGTGCTGCAGGATAATGCACTGGACCACAAGGCTGGTTTGAATCACAAGGTCTGAGATTCAAACCCACCACCTGCTCCTCAGAAATCCTACACAGGGTGGCTACGAGTCGGGACCGACTCAACAGCACTTAACAACAACATCGAAGGTAGGAGTTGAACAAGTCTTTGCTGTAGGCCAGATTGGGACGCTAGTTCTGCCGTATTGATTGTGAACGGACCACACGCACTGAGCAGTGTTTGTGGTCAGTATTTGATGCCATGGGGGTTCCAAAGACTACGTCCTTGCTGTCTCCTCACACTTGGAAGGAAATGAGAAGTGTGTACAGGAAGCAGGTGCATTAATAGGAAAATATCTGCTTATAAGGCCGTTTAGAGAATGTGACATGGACTTGTAGGTTGTTCCCCTAGAATTCAAACTCTCCACCCAGTCACATGTGGAACCGATGACCACAGTTCTCCCTGGCCAGCTGAAGCCTTGCTTTGTGACAGGAGACCCGGAGTTCTCAGCTGACAGGAAGATCCCAGACGAGAGGGCATGAGTAGGCCTACCCATCTTGGAAACCAGTCCTCCTCCCATGGGGGCCCGAGAGGAGGGCAGTCTGTGCAGTCACATAGAAACAGGAGGCGTGGGCATATGGCTGCCCGCCAACCCCCCAGCCCTCAGAAAGTGGATCGAAGATTTTAGTGGTTAAAGCAGGCATAGGCTTTCCGGTCTGATTCCTTATGAGCAGTGTGAGATTAGGCAGGGCAGCTGGCTCATTCCAGCCTTAGTTTTGCCGTCTTTTAAATGGGTGACAAGGCCTACCATGCAGAATGGGTATAAGATGTCATGAAATGATGTTACAATATGCTTCATACCTGCCCTCAGGGCCACCACCACCAGTGGCCATTGAGTCGATTCCTAGTCAAGGCGACCCCATGAGTGTCTGAGTAGAACCCTGGTCTATAAGGTTTCTAGTGGCTGATTTTTTGGAAGTAGTTCTCCAGGCCTTTCTTCTGATACCACATAGGAGGTAGCCCCTAAAGGACAGCTGCTGAGGCAGCTAATGCTGTGACTCACATTAACACTGACTCCAGGGGCCCCAGGCTAGTCAGAGGAAGGATGTACAGACCAGAGTTGGAGGAGAGGGGATGCTGGTGAAGGTTGATGAGACAGCAAGAGTCCTGATCTCGGATCCCCGTTGGCTTTGATTCAAACCCTGAGGTCAGCTTCCTTTTGCTCCCCATGGTGACGGGCAGTGGCTTGCAACAGCAGACAGCTGGCAATGGTCTGGAGACATTTGGGGTTGTCATAAGTACATGTGTTTGATGAGGGGAGGGGTTCTAGTGGATCTAGGCTGGGGATGCTGCAAGGTTCAGCGCCATCCCAGCAAACAAGAACCCAAGAAACAAAGCAAATCAAAAAACCACAACCTTGGAATGGATCCCAAATCCTAGACAGCCGAAGAGTTTCCTCCTGCCTCTCCTGGGAAGCACGTGGTGGGTTAGAACAGCTGACTGTTCAGTGAATCACCCGTTGCTTAACCTACCACACCATAAGGGTTCCCGAGGAAACACTCACCCCGCCCCGAATCTCGGAAGTGCGGAGGTTGAGAAATCCGGATGACACCGGTACCTCGAGCTCTGTCCATCACTGAACACAGGTTCCAGGGTGGTAATACAAACCCCAGAATTTGCATCTTCTTTGAAAACTTACTAAAAACCCTCTATATTCCTTAAGAGCATTATTTTTGGCATCTTTCACTTTACCAGAAATTAGAAACTCTGGCATACTGTTTAATTAAAAAGGCTTTTACAGAAAACGACCCGGTTTTAAGCACGGGGGCATTAAAGAGTGGTCCTAATTCTAAAGAGCTCAAAGAGTTTCCGAAATTTCCATCCCCACAGCTGGGTCCGTCACAATCACTAATTAGCAGCATAGCATTTCAGTCCTTTTCAGAGTTTCCAGAGAGCTCCGATTTTTGCTTCCTAAGTATTCTTAAATTAAACACCCTTTTAAATCCCAATAATGGGCATTTTCAGTGCAATTCCACCCATAAGCATTTAGGAGTTTATGTAGCAAGTAAAATGATTTTTCTAGGATTCAGACTTACTCTTGTACCACTGAGGGAGGTAAAAGCTTGAATACAATCATTTCCCCCAGAACTCTCATTCTCCTTGTGAGCCACAGACGAGCTGCAAAGAACAATTACACTGGTGACCCATATGGGTTCTGGGGACCAGCTGGGTTTTGTTGAGGTTCCAGTGGGTGCCACCTAGATCTTCTGAATGAGAACCTCTGGTGTTAGGCTGCAGGAACCCCTGTTTTGAACAGCTTCCCAGTGAGCCTCATTGCCTCATGGAGTCCTGGTGTGGCTATGGATAGGCACTGGCCTGTGAACCATAAGGTTGATGGCTCAAACCCATCAGCTGCTCCTGGGAACCCAAGCTGACCCAATGGCACTTACCAACAACAAGGAGCCCCATTCCTGGGTAAGGGAGAGAACTTGCTGAACCGGGCAAGGTCTCTGACCCACTACAAGTGTGTCAGCCTGGTGAGGGCAGGTGGTGGGAACCCTTGCAGTGTGGACTAGGAAGCTAACGGCCCTGTTGTATACAGTATCCTTGTATCTGTGCACTCCTGGAGCCTTGCTTCTCCTTCTTCCCCTCACCAACGTGGCCCCTGTTGTCCTCAAGGAGTAAACTTAAGAAGCCTTTCCCAAACAAGGATACCTGGTGGTGCTGTGGGTTAAGCAGGGTTGGGCTGCTCAGAGGGCAAGGCTGGTGGTTCAAAACCACCAGCTGCTCCTCAGAAGAAAGATGTGCCATTGTGCTTCTGTAAAGATTAACAGCCTCTGGGGGCCTCTGGGGAAGGGTCTACCCTGTCCTAGGTTGTTGTTAAGTGTTGTCAAGTCAGTTCTGACTCATAGTGATCCTGTATAGGGTTTCCTAGAAGCGACTGATGGGTTTGAACCGCCAACCCGCAGTTCAAACCATCATCATGGTCCAGTGCTTACCCTCTAGTGCCACACCAGGACTCCCACTTTGTCCTATCAGACCACTATAAGTTGGAATCGATTGACTCTGTGGCATTGGCCCACCCCCCACCCCCGCCCCCTCAGATCTTGTCCTTTTTCTATCAGAAAACATTAGGGAGCTATACTTAAGCAAAGGTTAGGAACAGGTATTTTTTTGAACAGGTATTTTATTGTGCTGACAGTTTTAACCAAAACGCCTTTAAGTGTTTTTATTAAAGAAGCTGACTAGAAACACTCCCATAATTCTTGGCACATAAAGGTCTCTAAGACTGTTGACTATCAAATGCTGAGATGCTGTCAAAAGAATTTTTAGTAAGCATTATTGTAGCTCAGGAGAAATATTAATCGTTGAGAGAAACTTTAGTATTTTGCTCCCAAGACCTTGTTTTTTAAAAGATGGTAAACTGAGGCTTGGAGCGATCGATGGTTATGCTCAAGTCTGTGGGAACAGACCACCACCCGTCTGTCAGTCTGTCCTACTGTGGTGAAGTGTGTGTTGCTGTCATCTGGAAGCTGTGTCACCGCTGTTTTAAATACCAGTCGAGTTACCCAGGGTGGACAGGTTTCAGCCGAGCTCCGGCCTAGGAAGAAAGAGAGTCAGACCATTTCTGAATGTGTAGCCACTGAAAACTACGAATAGCAGCTGAACACTCAGATGTACCAGAAGATGAAGATACTGTGACTAACAGAGAATATTGCAGAGACGGTACTGGCAGATGAGTCATTCTAATTGGAAAGCATTCAAAATATGACTCCGGAAGAGCTGCCTCTCAAGGTAGAGTTGAGTGATGACAGAAATGGAGCAAAGCTTTGGGGACCTTCATTTGCTGATTGGCACAACCCAAAATGAGGACAAACAGCTGCAAACATCCATTCATAATCAGAGCATGGAACGTACAAAGTATGAATCTAGAAAATTGCAACTTGACAAAAATAAAATGGAACATATAGACATCGATCTCCTAGGCATTAGTGAGCTGAAATGAACTGGTATTGGCCATTTTGAATCTGACAATCACATGGTTTACTATGCTGGGAATGACAAATTGTCACGAATATAATCAAAAAGAACATTTCAAGATGAATATTGCAGTGCAGTGGTGTTAGTGATAGGATAGTATCCATATGCCTGCAAGAAAGACCAGTTAATAGCAATATTATTAAAAGTTTTGCACCAACCACTAAAGTTCATGTTGATGAAATTGAAGAAATCTACCAACTTCTTCTGTCTGAAATTGATAAAACCTGCATTGATAGTTACTGATGATTGGAATGCAAAGGTTGGAAATGAAGAAGAAGGATCAATAGCTGGAAAATACAGCCTTGGTGATAGAAATGATGTTGCAGATTGCAGGATAGAATTTTCTAAAACCAGCAACTTATTCATTGCAAATACCTGTTTAAACAACATAAAATATTGGCTATACACATGAACCTCACCAGAGAAAATACATAACATCTTTGGGAAGTTTTTGTTGTTGTTAAGTACTATTGAGTGGTTCTGACTCTAGCAACCCTGTATAAGATTGCCAAGGAGCAGCTGGTGAGCTTTAACTACTGGCCTTGCAGTTCAAGCCAACTTTGCAGTTTAGCATGTTAGCCTTCAGCACCACACCAGGACTCCTTTTTGGGAAGAGACAGTGGAAAAACTCCATATCATCAGCCAAAACAAGGCCAGGGGCAAACTGTGGAACAGACCATCAATGCTCAAATGCAAGTTCAGGCTGAAGTTGAAGAAAATTGAAACAATTCCATGAGAGCCAAAATATGAGCTCGAACATATCCTACCTGAATTAAGTAATCTTCTCAAGAACCGATTTGATGAATTAGACACTAAAGGCCAAAGTCTAGAAGAGTCGCGGGATGACATCAAGAACATCATACAGGAGGAAAGCAAAAAGGTCATTGGAAAGATAAGAAAATAAGAAAAGACCAGAATGGATGTCAGAAAAGACTGAAACTTACTCTAGAGCACAGAGGAGCTAAAATGTGTGGAAGAAATGAGGAGATAAAAGAGCTAAATAGAAAATTTCAAAAAGCATGCTTGAGAAGACAAATTCAAGTATTATAATGAAATGTGCAAAGACCTAGAGTTAGAAAACAACTATAAAACTATAAAACACCTTTCTATAGTTAGAAAACCAAAAGGGAAGAACATGCTCAGTATTCCTCAAGCTGAAAGAACTGAAGGGAAAGAAATCTAAGTCTTGGCTTGCAGTATTGAAGGATTCTATGAACAAAATATTGAACAATGCAGAAAGCAAGAAGGAAAGATAGAAGGAAAACACAGTCACTCTACTAAAAATAAATGGTTGATGTTCAACCATTTCAAGAAGTAGCATCTGATCACCATAGAAAGCTTGTAAGTCCGTCTTCTGCCTATAACTGATTGGAATACCTAAAATGGGGCTACAACGTACCCAGTGAAGGAGGCTTCCTGCAGCGCCTCTGCATTACATAAGACTGTAGGTGGAAGCCTGAACCACATCCAGATCTTCAGAGATGGGAAATTTCCACTTGAAAGGATGAGCAGACCAGCCTGGAGCGGCTAGAAGAACAGAAGATACTTCTTGAAAGAAAGACCTACAGGAAAAATACAAAACAATAGAGGCAGACTGATTGTTACTACAAGAACAAGCAAGTTGCTTGCCCAGGAGACATCAAGGCAAGTGGTTGGGACCCCTCAGTGTAAACCCTCTTCCAAGAGTAAGACTCAATGGGAATACACGCTCTGATTGGTGACCATGCTCGTCATCCATAAGGGGAAGTTAGGAAAAAACAGCAATGAAGCAGCGAGATAAACCGTACAATGTTCAATGGACTCCTGTGAACCTGGGTGGAGACCTGGTTGGCCAGCAGTGTGGCAAGATCTGGGGACTCTTGGGCCCAGAGTCAGTGACACAATCACAGAGGACTAGAGTGGATGGTGAATTGTCCACTGATAAGAACAGAGGTGATATGTGCAAGAACACCCACACTTGCAGATAATACCCACTTAATCTGGCTTCAATGACTGGATGATCAGAGCTCAACCAGAAGAAGAAAGAAAAGGGAAAAAAAGCATAATCTGATACAATTTGATGAACTTGGCCTACACCTATGGATGAAGTAGCTCAAAAGAGGAAACAAATCCTTACTGCAAGAATCATTCACACCCCCTCCACACACAGAGTAGACAGGGATGGGCAACTTGGACATTGGCTACCCAAAATGGGGGGTGGGGGAGCGCTACAAAGGCAAGAAGTGACTGGCTTACAAACTTTCAAGAGGGAACCTAGATCCAGAGGGCATGGAGTAAGGTAGAATCTCCAGTGAGTAGTATCCAATCTGTCTAGGCAGGGCTGATGAAATGAAATGCAGATAGGCCTCTTGTGATACAATAGTGAATAATCGTTATCATGACCGATTGTGAGGGTTGGAAATGTAAAGGTAGACATTTTATAGCAAGGAGGGGAGTGATTAACTTTTCAGCCTAGGAGCGGAGGTCCCTAGGACCATCAATGGAGAACAGCAGAGAGCGGGACCCTACCCAGAGAAGCAGTGATGCCTGAGATGGAGACAGAGACGATGACATGGAGAGATGGAGCAGCTGGGGACTTGAGATCCAGAGAGGGAGAGCAGCTGTGTGTTGATGACCGGGGTGGGGTGGGCGGGGGCAGGCTTACATAGTATACCCTTTGGTTGGTTGATGATGCATGGAGCGGATTGTAACCATGGCAATGAAACGATATATGATAGAATGAATGTAAAACTAATGTTCTCCCATGTAAGCTATCACTTAATTCACAATAAAACATTTATAAAAAAGAAGTAGTGTATGATCAAGAATAGATAGTAGTGACGGAACAAGTCCAAGTTGCACTGAAAGCATTTGCGAAAAAACAAGGAATTGATGGAATTCAAATAAAAATCTTTCAACAACCTGATGCAACACTGGAGGCACTCACTCATCTAGGCCAAAAATTTGGAAGACAGCTCCATGGCCAAACGATTGGAAGACATCCATATTTGTGTCCATTCTAAAGAGAGGTGAACCAACAGAATGTGGAAACCATTGAACAAAATCATTAATATCACATGCAAGTAAAAATCACATGTAAGTAAAATTTTGCTGAAGATAATTAAAAAATGGTTGCAACAATACATTAATAGGAAACTGCCAAGAATTCAAGATGGATTCAGAAGAGGATATGGAACAAGGAATATCATTGCTGACATCTGATGGATCTTAGCTGAAAGCAAAGAATACCAGAATTTTACTTGTCCTTTATTGACCACACAAAGGCTTTCGACTGCATAGATCCTGTTAAACTGTGGATAACAATGCAAAGTATGGATACTCCAGAACACTTAATTGTGCTCATGAGGAACCTGTACATATACCAAGAGGCAGTTAATAGAACAGGGGATACCAAATGGATTAAAGTCAGGAAGTTATGCATCAAGGTTGTGTCCTTTCACCACACTGCTCAGACATTATGCTGAGCAAATAATCTGAGAATCTGGGTTATGTGAAAAAGAACATGGCATCAAGATGGGAAGAAGACTTATTAACAACCTGTGATATGCATATGATACAATCTTGCTTAAGAGGACTTAAGATACTTACTGATGAAAACCAAAGTTACATCCTTCAGTATGGATTGTACTTCAATGTAAAGAAAACAAATATCCTCATCACTGGACCAATAAATAACGTCACGATAAATGAAGAAAAGATTAAAGATGTCAAAGACTTCATTTTGCTTGGATCCACCATCAACACTCATGGAAGCATCAGTCTATAAATAAAAGGACATATTGCATTAGGCTTCTTCTGCTTTGGGCTGTAGGATCAGCACTGGTCTGCAAACCACAGGTTGGAAGTTCAAACCCAACAGCTGCTCCTTGGAAACCCTGTACGGGGTTGCTATGAGTCAGGACCGCTTGATGGCACTTAACAACAAAAACAACATTTGCATTAGGCAAATCAGCCGCACAAGACCCCTTTAAAGTTTTCAAGAGCAAAGATGTCAATTTGAGTCTAAGGTGCATTTGGCCCAAGCCATGGTGTTTCTAATTGCCTCATATGGATGTGAAAGTTGGGTAAAAAATAAGGTAGACCATAGAAGAATTGATACATTGGAATTATGGTGTTTGGAAGAATATTGAAAGTACCACGGGCTGCCAGAAGAATAAACAAATCTGTGTTGGAATAAGTACAGCCAGAATGCTCCTTGGAAGCCAGAATTGCAAAACTTTGTATCTCAAACCTTGGACATGTTATCTGGAAGGACCAGCCTCTGGAGAAGGGCATCATGCTGGACAAAATTGAGGGTTAATGAAAAAGAGGTAGACCCCCAACAAGATGGATTGTCACAGTGGCAGCGACAATGGGCTCAAAACAACTGTTAGATTGGCACAGGACCAGACAGTGTTTTATTCTGTTGTGCATAGGGTCATCAACATGGGAACAAATGGTGTTCCTTGACGATGCAAACATTTAACATGCTCATTTGCTAAGTCCACCTAGAGGTGCTCAGATGAAAGACTTGGTGATTGAAAACCTACACATCACAGTTCTCTTCTGAAACACATGGGGTCACCATGATTGGGAGTACCAGATGACATAGCCTCTCCTGCACCTTATTGTTGCCAGGCAGTCGCCGTGGGCTGGTTAGTTTCAGCCTGATGCCTGAGCGATCCCTAACAAGACAGATGGGATAGTCTTGCTGTGGCCCTGCCTGGTCAAGTATAACCCCTCAGGTCGGGGCTGAGATGAGATGTGAATAAAACTGGGTTCCATTAAGAGGGAGAGAGAAGAAAGGACATTTCATCTACAATCAACCATGTTGCTTTCTCCGATTGGCTGTTGTAAAGGTATTCCTGTTTGGAGAACTGTTATGGTATTCCTGGGTTAGCAGTTTGAATTCCCCAGATGTTGCATGGGAGAAAGATGAGATTTACAGCCTCACAAATGCTATACAAGATCACCATGAGTCGGAACTGACTCGATGGCATGTAACAGCCACATGATATTCCATATCATTCTCACAAAGGGTTGATGGTGACGCAATGTCCTTTATCTTGACGATTAATTCATGACATTATTTGTATGTTTCAGAAAATGTCAGCAAACTCAAGAAACTTCAATATTTGAATTTAGCTTTAAACAACATTGAAAAAATTGAAAATTTGGAAGGTAAGACTTGCCTCCTGATATTTTATTGTTGTTGTTGTTGTTAAGTGTTGTTGAGTCCATTCCTTCTCATAACGAGCCTGTATAGAATTTCCAAGGAGTGGCTGGTTGGTGACTTTTCTGAACTAATTCTATAAAGTCTATAAATTCTATAACTAATTCTATAAAGTCTGTCTCCTTTGCCATGTGTTGCCAGGCACTATAATCTCTCCTTGGTTAGCTTCTAAAACCCCAGAAGTAGAGTCTATTCCAATTTCTAGCAACCCTCTAGGACAGAGTAGATCTTTCCCCATTGGGTATTCAAGGGTATCATCTTTATGGAAACAGACTTCCACAAGTTTCTCCTATAGAATGACTGACTAGTGGGTTCCAACTGCTAACCTTTTGGTTAACAGCTGATGGTTTAACCACTGTGAACTCAAGGATCCTCTTTGGTTATCTGAGTGTTTAGCTAATGCTTGGAGAGATTTCTTCTGATACCTAGTCTTGACTAAAGTGCTCCGTGTGAGTGTTGGGGAATACTATCAGCACTCAGTTAACCAGTCTCCATCATCTCTGCTCCAAATATCACTTAAAAAAACAACAACAAAACCCAGCACTTTTTATTGTGAATTGAGTGAAGGTTAACAAACAAGATCATCAGCTGTACATTTAATAAATTATCCGCTTTGTTTCATCTCAATGATTACAATCCCCTTCCTGCAACAACAGTTATCCTACTTCCTCCCTGTGGCTTCCTTTTTACACCTTATATTTCACAAATGAACAAAGCCAAATTATTTGATGTACACACACAAAACAAAAAATATAATCATTTAAACGTCCAAAGAGCATAATCTGCCAGCCAACCTCCTGCCCACAGGCACATAGCCTTACTCAGTCCATGGGCCTAGAGTCCACAGCTGCTCTGTGTCTCCATCCACCACCTCTGCCACCATCTCTGCTGTCACTGCTTTACTAGGTAGGATCACATGCTCCACTCATGGTCTTCCTTCTTAATGGTCCAGGGATCCTCTCTTCCTGAAGTGAAAGATTAACTACTCCCTCCTTTTAGTTCCACGTCTTCTACAATTACAGTTGTGACAGTCACAATCCTGCTAGCCATTACTCACAAGGGAATCAGAAAATCCTATCAACATCACCCTCCCATTCCTTTTATTCCATCCATCTGGAAAAGAGGGAGACTATTCTGTAGGGATTTTACCTTACTCCCCTCATTCTGAAAGTAAGCACACTTATGAAAGCTTATAAACCAGCCACTTCATGCCTTTATAACCCCCGTTTTTGATAGCTGATGTTAAAGTTGCCCATTCCTATCAACCCAGTGCACTGAGGAAACAAGCTTGTTCCTTGATATGAAGAATCCTTCCCTTTGGGTTGGAATTTTGAGCAACTGCACCCACAAACAAAGGTCCAGTTCATCAAATTATAGCAATCTACATTTACTCACAGTATCAAGTATTGTTATCTTCATCTGGTCGAGTTCTGGTCAGCTAGCCATCCAAGCTAGGCCAAATGGGAACCATCTACAAGTTTCGGAGTTCACGCCCTGTCGGGGTCTGGCCTTGACAAGGGGGTGAGTACACGAAGGTGGGGTGTCTGACGACGAGAGAGAGATTGAGAGAGAGAGAAAACAGACACAAAGAACACAGAGAAAACAGACACACAGGTTTGGTGCAAGCTGCACACAGAACTAGCTCTAGGTAGGATGTCTGGAGAGACGAGAGAGAAAAGAAACACTTGGAGACCAGAGTGGGTGCAAAACCGGCAGACAGACCCTCCATGGCCCTGCAAGCAGTAATGCATGCGGGCTTCAGTCTGCGTCCGTCTTTTATTTCAGGGAGGGACTTTACACAAAGGAAGAAGGGGATTATTAAGACAGGGTACAGAAATGAAATGTGATTAATCATTCAAAACAGGACACAATGATTTACAGGACCAAATTCTAAAACATACATCACAAGTTGTCTTGATAATCTAACATCCTTAATTTTCCAGAAATTCAAGCAAATTGTTATAAATTACTTTTTAGGTTCAAATCCCAAGGCAGCAGCTCGAGGTTTTTCAAGGCTAATTAACATACCTATAGCACCTAATCTTCAATGGATAAAGGTGAAAAGGATTTCAAAAGGTCTGAAGAAAGTCAAGCTGTTTCAGATACCTGGCTTAAGCTTTCAGGAGGAAGGAGAACATATAGGTCAAACTGATTATACCCGGGGGCGGTTTGAAGGGGCTGCCACCATAATCCAATATTCCCAGAATTTACCACTCCACCTCAAGTGAATACCCTGGGCAGTTCCTCTCCAGAACCTCCCTGCTTAATCCCAGTAAACCTGCCCTTGTTCATCCTGCCTCGGTTCTAGGGGGAAATTCGGTTTTACATGGATATCAAGAGCTCATGTTCTAAGTTAATATTAAACATAACTGAATTATCAAATAAGGAGCAGTTCTGACACTCATCCCAGGTGGCTATCGCTTGTACCTCAGAAAGATTCGTTCCCAGGACCCTATGCACTGCCAACACAGTGGAGACATTAAGAGAGGCATTATATAAACCATTTTCTCAAGCTACAATTACTGGAGTTAGAAGCATAGAATGAACAATATTAGGACTTGTACAGAGGTAGACATCCAGTGAGTTCATAAAAGCCAATGAACCCAGGACGTCCGGAGGTTACTTCCTTGGGCCCTCAGGGTCCCTGGCTAGCAAGCCTGAGAGCGGCCATCATGTTGGATTTTCATCCATGACACCGGTCCTCAGCATCTCAGTGATTGTGGTCTCCTACAACGCCCACCTCCCCACACTTCAGAACAGCTGGCCACTTCACTCTCAGCTCTAGTTCCCATTGGCTAGGCTAGTGTCCATGGTGTGAACCATGGACACTAGCCTAAGTCTTCTCTCTCTTTCCTCAAGGCCAATGGGTGTCAATGGAACATGGCCCAACTCAGCTCATGTCTTCATTGCTTCATTTTCCCCACTTCCACACATGAGTAGACCCAGGAGCTCACCATCAAGCACACTAGACTACTTGAGGTTCAGTTTAAGTTTGGTCTGAGAGGGGCTTTTCTCTGATGGGCTGACTTTTCTTGCCTTGATGCCTCCAAAGGAAACAGCTTGCTTGATGTTCTCATAGTCAAACAGTCCATTTTATTTTTTGCAGGCCTGCCTTTCAATAAGCATCTTCTGTTCTCCCAGCCAGTCTGCATTGGCCTGCATGTCTTCTCAAGTGCAGCCCTCACTTCTTGCTTTCGCAGAGCCTCAAGGGCACTAAGATGCAAGAACTGAGGGTCTTCTTGGGTCTCTCCTCAGCATACACATCATCCTCCATGTTTGTGACCTACTAGATTCCCTGGCATCTGTCAGTGCTTCTCAAAGATCCTGTGGACATCTGATTTACCAGCTTTACCAATTAAGCTTTATACTTAGTCTACTATTTGTTTACCTGTGCTTTATTGACTACGCAAAGGCTTTCGATTGTGTGGATCATGACAAGCTATGGACAACATTGAGAAGTATGAGTATTCCTGAACACTTAATTGTACTCATGAGGAATCTGTACCTGAACCAAGAAGCAGTTGTTTGAACAGAACATGGGAATACTGAATGGTTTCAAGTTAAGAAAGGTGTGCAACAAGGTTGTATTTTTTCACCATACTTACTCAACCTGTATGCTGAGCAAATAATCTGAGAAGATGGGTTATATGAAGAAAAACATGGCATCAGGATTGGAGGAAGACTCATTAACAACCTGCGATAAGCAGATGACACAACCTTGCTTGCTGAAAGTGAAGAGGACTTAAAATATTTACTGATGAAGATCAAAGAGCACAGTCTTTGTATGGATTACATCTCAATGTCAAGAAAACAAAAATCCTCACCACTGGACCAATAAACAACATTCTTATCAATGTAGAAAAAATTGACGTTGCCAAGGACTTCATTCTTCTTGGATCAACTATCAATACTCATGGAAGCAGCAGTCAAGAAATCAGACAATGTATTGCATTAGGCAAATGTGCTGCACAAGACCTTTTTAAAGTGTTGAAGAGCAAAGATGTCAGCTTGAGGACTAAGGTATGCCTGATCCACGCCTTGGTATTTTTAATAACCTCATATGCAAGCGAAAGCTGGACAGTGAATAAGGAAGACCGGAGAAGAATTGATGCCTTTGAGTTATGGTGTTGGAGGAGAATATTGAAAGTGCCATGGGCTGCCAAAAGAACCAATAGATCCATTTTGGAAGAAGTGCAGCCTGAGTTCTCCTTGGAGGCCAGGATGGCCAAACTTCGTCTCTCATACTTTGGACATATTGTCAGAAGGGATCAGTCGCTGGAGAAGGATATCATGTTTGGTAAGGTGGAGTGTCAGAGAAAAAGAGGAAGACCCCCAGCGAGATGGATTAACCAAGTGGCAGCATCGATGGACTCAAGCATGGCAACAGTAGTGAGGTTGGCCCAACCAAGATCGGGCAGTGTTTCATTCTGCTGTGTGTAAGGTCGCTATAAGTTGGTACTGATTCGATAGCACCTAACAACAACAATAACTATTTACAAACAATTAACCACTCAGCTGGTAAACAAAAGTTGGAGGTTCGAGTTTGCACAGAGGTGTCTTGGAAGAAAGCTCTATATCTACTTCCAAAACCATCAGCCACAGAAAACCTTGTGGAGCGCATGCAGTTCTAGTCCACACACATAAGGTCTGAATGTGTTCCACTGTAGCAGGTTTTATTTCATTGGTGGACTGTTGACCCCAACCTTTATCTACTGTCCAGGCAGTTACAGAGTTAAAATGATTGTCCCTAATTATTTTCCACAAAAACTCCTCCCACCACAGAAAGAGAAGCTGGTTAGCACAGGTGAGCTCTAAACCAGTCTTGTAATGGCCTCCCACCACACAGGTCCCAGCCCACTGCCCTCGATTCCATTTCAACTCACAGCGACCCTCTAGAATGGAGTAGAATTGCCACATAGGGATTCTAAGGTGGCCATCATTATGGAAG